GGATGTAATCGTCGTTTTCGCACGTAGGCGGACTCGACGCATGTTGCGTGTGCATGTGGGGGCGGGGGACTTTAATTTTTTTTAAATTATTATTATTGCTTTGATATGTGACTTTTAATTTTTTTATTTTTTTTTTAACTTTAATTTTTTTAAACCTTTTTTTTTCACTGAACTTTATTGCTATCACATAGGGAGCAAACAAGCTCCCTATGTGATAGCCAATTTGCAGTGACAGGTTCTCTTTAGGGTGACCCCTAATGTCACCTTCGGACCCCCAGAGAAGCTGATGAAGCAGAGACCTGCTTCACCAGCTTCTCTCCGGTTTCTGTACCAGCGAGTGACAGAGGAATGCAGGAAGTGATGTAATACACATCATTACCTGCATTTCGAAGAGGAGGAAGAGATCAAATGGAGCTCATGTACCAAGTGGAGGGGGGCCGCACACCCGCATGCTTATTACAAGGGATCGGGTGTCTCTACAGACGCCCGAACGCTTGTATGTAAACAGCCATCGCTGGCTGTTTACATTCAAAGCCGATTTCCCGCTCGTGCGCACCGCCTTTTTGAGGCATAGGAACATGCCTCAAAAAATTGAAAACAAAGCCTTGAAATGCACATAGAGCATTTATTCTACTATACCTGCCAGGATTCTGGTTTTTATCCAGACGTTGTTGTTTTGTGTTACGACTTAAAATTGCTTTTTGGTACAGTCATAATCTAGGTTTATTTGAGGCAAGTAATTTGAAGAAAAAGTTACCAACGTCTACAAAACCTTCATGGGATACTGGTGGTTCAGAAAATCCTGATGCCCGTCAGCACTGGGTTTGTGTTTTATGAGAGGCTTCTTCTTTTGAGTGGTTAAATTTGCCCATGCTTTGCCCACACAAAACAGATCAACAGGTTCACTTTCATTTAGCAATCCCATAGGGAAATAGGTACATCCCTTTTTTTTGCTCCTCAGTTGCTCCATTCAGCTGTTGATAGTGAATGCAAGTCTTCTGTATGCTGTTAGTTGCTGGACTCGTGGCTTACGGAGATCTATAAACTTCCCATGTGTCAGAGGACAATGAAAACCAGACAAGAAAAAGGTGCTAGTTAAAACATTTATTAAGAACAGTGTCCACAGGAGCAAGCAGAATCATAAACTGGAACAAGCCAAAGTCAGGAGCCGAAGTGGGTAGTCGTCCAAGCCAGGTCAGGAACACGGAGATCAGCGTCGTCAGGAACAAGCCAGGAGCAGGAGCCAGGAAATCAGCGTTGTCAGGAACAAGCCAGGAGCAGGAACCAGAGGAGACCATAAGCCAGGATCGGGTCATAAACAGAATCAGGATACTCAGAGCAGCAGGAATTCACTAGCAGGAAGAACACGCAAGGGCAAGGTCAGACTGGACTGAGTGGTTTATATATAGTGAGTGGGTTGTTGATAGTGAATGCAAGTCTTCTGTATGCTGTTAGTTGCTGGACTCGTGGCTTACGGAGATCTATAAACTTCCCATGTGTCAGAGGACAATGAAAACCAGACAAGAAAAAGGTGCTAGTTAAAACATTTATTAAGAACAGTGTCCACAGGAGCAAGCAGAATCATAAACTGGAACAAGCCAAAGTCAGGAGCCGAAGTGGGTAGTCGTCCAAGCCAGGTCAGGAACACGGAGATCAGCGTCGTCAGGAACAAGCCAGGAGCAGGAGCCAGGAAATCAGCGTTGTCAGGAACAAGCCAGGAGCAGGAACCAGAGGAGACCATAAGCCAGGATCGGGTCATAAACAGAATCAGGATACTCAGAGCAGCAGGAATTCACTAGCAGGAAGAACACGCAAGGGCAAGGTCAGACTGGACTGAGTGGTTTATATATAGTGAGTGGGGTGACATCATCACTCAGAGACAGGAAGCTCCCATCTGACTCTCTCAGATGATGCTCTCCTGTCTGGCCATAAGAGGGAGCCTGGGAGTAGTGAGCAACGTTCCAGAGGCTGCTCTGGCAAAGAAGGAAACACAGGTGAGTAAAATGGCAGCCAAGCCAGAATGCTGCAAACCAATAAAGTCAGGGTGGAACCCTGACACCATGTAACAGTACTGATTGGCCCAGTGCTACTACATGAAGTGACTCACATGTTTTGCCAAACTATACCAGCATTTTATATTGGCTTCTGGTGATGAAACAAGGCCAAAGAAAAGGTAAGTATTTGCTGGGGATGGATGCAGGATTCAAGCAAACCTATTAAGAAGAACTTCACCATTATCTTAAACATGACAACAAAGGCACCTTTAGAAATATGTATTCATGGCAATCTGCAGATACTTTTAGATAATTGCAGGCTTTTTATTCTTTGAATATCTTATTTTTCTTTTCCCCCGTTCTTTTCATGGCAGCAATTTTCACTAAGGGCAGATAAATCCAACTCTCTTTACTTCCTGGAACTCTGGGTCTGTCTCCTGGAACATGTCATAGTGCAAATCATCTGAGGGGGAAAAATGCCTTTCCCCTGTGCTCTTTTGCAGTTTACAGATGAGATTTGCCAGAAATGTAACCTTCCCAAGATGCATCTGTTAGGTCAGGATTACATCACGTATGCCTAAAGAATTAGAAAAACGGTAATTGCACGTAAAAGCAAAATACTGTATTTGTGCTTGACTAATGAATGTAAGATGATTACAGAGCTGCTTGCTGATGTGATTTTTCATGAAAGGGGTAAAGGTCCCCCTGAAGGGCATTTGGGATGATATTAGTGTGGTGAGTGCCATGGGCTCACTAATCCTCCAGCAATATAAATACCAGCCCATGAGCCAGTTTAATACTATGGTCTAGTTCCTGCTGGTAAAAGATTGGTGATAAAGCAGAAAATCCTACATGAAAGTGTCTTCATTCAATTTTGCCTAAGACAACTTTATCTATCCCTAATTGGAAGTGTGATTTTCATGCAAGCAATCTCAGAAATAAATAGCTTCTCTAACTGTTGGGACTTCATCAAAGTAATCACTGCATCAGGATTTTGTAACAATTGCTGTGAACATAATTGAATAATTCTGATATAGTAAATTTACTGGAAGCCTACACGACATGCAGTATTTCGCTGCAGAATTTGTCATTAATTTACAGCAGTTTAAAGAAGCTTTTCAATATTGGAGATACTGGAGCGCTGTACATTTCCAGTGTTCTATATAAGGTGTCTACAGTCATGGTGACCGTGATAAGTGTTCTCTCAACATAATATTATGCTTCAAACCTCGATCCCAACGTTTGATTTCTTATATCCACTTTTGAAGGACGGCTAGCGCTGTACGTTTTAAGAAAATACATTCTATTAGGGGCTGAGTGCCTGAGTTCAGCAGCTTCCAACACCCTTCTAGAACAACTAAATTCACACATTTTTTATCATTATTAATGTGTATTAATTTATTTATTTTTTATTAATATCAATATTTTAACAACAATTTATCATTTTAAACATCTTATTATTTTCAACCTCCATTAGCGCAAGTTCTTGCAATTACTATAATCCCACGGTAGAACTGGGGGTTGTAGTCACCCAGGACTCTCAGCCAGAGGGGCTGAGCGTTTGCAGGAGGCAAGTTCTTTTACTGGGAAAGAGCTGACTTTGTGGCTCTTCCCAGGATTTCTGGATTTGGCATGGGATCCTGGAACTGGGAGATTTCTAAGAGAATTGGGTACGGTTTATTATTTGTTATTCATGTGTATTTTATTTGTTGGACACTGACAAAGTTATTAAACCCAAATATTAACTTTAACATGTTAATGTCATTTCAAATGGCATTTTTAAATATATTTTCATTAGGGCTGGTAATGATTAAAATGTTTGTGTTCGATTAATCTAACTTTTTTTTAATCGATTAATTTAGATTAATTATAACGCACCAACAGATCCAACTACATTGGCCTATACACATACAGCACAGCAATGAAGTAATAAAATGAACTAGGATCACACTTATCCAGCACGGTATTAATCTCACGTGCCCCACTCAATATGGCCGCCGCTTGAGTGGGGCAACTCAGAATAATAATGTGCTGGATTAGGGTGATCCTAGTTCATTTTATTACTTCATTGCTGTGCTGTATGTGTATAGGCCAATGCCTTGGCTGGCGCTCGTGCAGAAAGTTTCTTGGGCTAACTCACCGGCCCAAGTGGCTCCGTCGGCTAACGAAGGGGGGAGGAGTACGGTGATGTCACCGGATCGCCGACGGGACTCCCGGAAGCCGGCGGAGTGGTGAGTGTTTTCATTAGCGATCAAAATAATTTTAAATCGATCAAAAAGTTTTACGATTAATCGAGAAATTAATTTCCACAGCCCTAATTTTCATTAAAATAATACCCAGTCATCCTGATTTAGAACCAAGCCACACTTATGAGTTGAGGTTACATGCGTTGGTAGGATGTGGTGCCATTCATTTTGAATGGCACCCAAATGCACTTTCCCCAACACACTAGTGTCGGAGTGGTAGTGGTTTTTGTGTTACAACAAAAAGAGTCATATTTGGCAGCCTATTCAAAATGGGTTGTCTTAACACAATGTACATAAAAGTGTAACAAAATCTGCAATAACATACAAAACAAATGTAAATGGGCTGTAAAGGTTCTTTTTCAGGCACTTCCTGTTTTAGGGAGACAACGCCCTGTGTCTGTCTCCCAGTTGTGCTTCTTTACTTCCACCCTGTCACACAGGTTTCCAAAGGAGACTACTAGTGAACATTAAAACAAATTTTATGTAGTCATGGTCGACTGTTGTCACCTTCAGTAATCCTGATCTGAGAAATGTCATGTCACTGGAGTCCATGCATGTAGACAGAAAGAGGCTGCAAGTGATTAGCAACATAAAAATGCAACAATGGAAAAAATATATATTTTATTTAAACAAGGCAATTGTTTTTGATACACAGTACATTAGCAAAGTATATGACCCGGTTAGGGTTTTCACCTACTCTAATAATAGAACATACTATACACTATATTACCATTAACCAGTGTTTCTTATGTCATTTTAGGAATTCGTAATGATCGTTGTGTTTGGTTTGGAGTACATTATCCGTATATGGTCTGCAGGCTGTTGTTGTCGCTACCGAGGATGGCAGGGAAGGTTAAGATATGCCAGGAAACCATTTTGTGTAATAGGTAAGTATGATATCTACAAGCACAGTACAGGCAGGATTACACAGAATAAAAAACTTCCCACAGTCACCTCCTTAACATTACATAGGGGGAGCTAGGTAGGATTTTAAGGCAAGTATAAAGCACTTATAAATGTATGCAGAATTTTTTTCTTTTAAGTTATGAGATGTTAATGGGAATATATAACAAATATAAAATAGGTGTTATACAGCAGTGAGTGAATAGGCTCGGCTCGGCTCGGCTATTTTGCTCGGTACCTCTGTGGTACCGAGCAGAATAGAAAAACAGTTAAAAAGGTAGAAAAAATAAAATAGAAAACGATTGGGTGGAGCGAGCAGTGACAGCTAGCTATGCACAACTGTTTTCTATTGGTCGGGCGGTTCTGCTGCTGTCAGAATAATATACAA